ACCCCCCCCCCCCCCCCCCCCCCCCACCCAACCCCCCCCCCCACTCCCGGGATTTTTTAATCTTAAAGCTCTGTTTTACACCTTGCTTTACTAACTTCATAATAGATCTTCTCTTTCCAACTGACAGGTATCCATCTTCCCACAATGCCAGGTGCTACTGGGCAGCTGGTCCTGACCCTAACCAGGCAGTAAAGCTTTAGGACCTCACCAATCACGATGGTCCTCACAGCCTTTCTCTGGTGACTGGTTCAGGTACAGGCACGTGAAGCAACTATGACCACTGAACTCTGGGGACAGTTTCCTTATGTTTAAAACCACACAAATGAAAAAATGTCCTTCTCCTCCTCTGGGTGTGCTGCCTGGAGCTGCTGCAGCCGTTATGCAATCTGGGAAGAGGGGAACCCATTCTGAGGACAGAGCTGCTGATACATGAGGGTGGCAAAGTAGAAAATGACACAAATAGGGGTCCTTGGCTCCCATTATAGAGCCCCTGAAATAACTGCGAAGTTGCCCTATTTGGTGATATAAGCCAATAATTTTGATTATTGTTTCAGCCATTTAGAGTTCGATTTTCTGTCCCTTACAGCTAAAGTAAGGCACTGTCTAGACACAAGCATGTGCAGATGGATTTAACCTGTTCTTTTCAACTGCCTGTACACTAATTTCTTAACCTTTTCCCTACTGATGGGCACCTGGATGATTTCCTGACAAACAGTGTTGGAGTAATCCTTATACACATCTTTGCATAACTGATCAAGATCTGCCGTGAGATGAAGTCTTAGGAATAGACCAACAGAGTCAAAGGGCACATGAATTTTAATTTCAACAGAAGGCACAATAGCCCTTCAGAGAGGCTGCACCAATTCAGCCTTTTCCCCACACTCTCGGTAATATCACAAATGGAATGGAACCTATTATTCATCTTTATCATACTAGTCAATGAAGTCCTTGGTCGTTTTCTTTTGCATTTTAAAAATCAGGAGAAACTGAGAATCTTTTCTTCTGTTTAAAAGTCATTTGCAGTTTTTCTATGAATCTTTCTAAAAAGTTGCCTCCCATAGGTAAGGTATTAAAAGACATTGCAAAGGACATTGAAAAAATGCAATGAAGCTGATTTACCTTCTAAAAGACAATACAAGATTAAGAAACATATAACAAGTGAGTTCGGGTGCATATTTATGATGCAAAGTGAGAAGATCTTAAAAAGTCCTTGAAATGGTGAAAGGGGAAGAGTTTTCAACTCCTATTGCAACAGTGCATTTTGAAAACCAGTTTCTTTTAGAGGCATGAATTGAGAAAAATGTACCACGGGCATGGTGAAATCGACAGTGTTCTCAAGCTAAAGGCTTTACAGCATAATTTGATCCTCAGTTAAAGTCAACAGAGGGTCACCACGGGCCACCCACAGCAGTTGACTTTTCCATGTCCCTTGTTATCCAGGATCAAGTTTTGGTTTTATCATAGAAAATGCTAGCGTTTTCTAGAATCTCCTCATGCAACATTTACAAGTGACTGTAAGTGGGCAGGGGGTGGCATCACGGAAGGTAAGCAAACCCCAAAACCACCTTACCTCGGGGGCCCAGCAATGCCTTGAAATAGGTACTAAGTGATGCATCAAAATGTTCCATTTTAAAACCTATTAGGGAAAAAAAAGATATCGATTAATCTCAACTCAAAATGGTTTCTATACAATATTTTTTCATAAAAGAACAAGAACAAATTCTTTTCAAAGAATATTCTACGGACAAGGTTAAGTTCCTCGTGTTAAAACCAAAAAGAAAGTTTTTTTTTTAACTCACAGAAGTAAATTCTGCATGAGTTCTAATGTGAAAATCAAAAGGAAAGACTCAGTTCCATGAATTCACTCTATAAAAGAAGCGCCAGTTTTCTGGACTTTTCTCAGTTCCATAAAAACTCTTTCCGTGAAAATGAAATCTCAGTGGGGAGAGGAGTGGAAGTCACTGGAATGAAAGGTGGCAGACAGGAAGAGAGCCCGCCTGGGCAAGAACCGAGACTTGAGGCAGGACACCAAAGGCAGGAGAGCCTATCAGGGGACAAACACCACAGCGAAAACACAGTGTCCTCTGCTTGGTACTTTTATCAGCTATTACTTTACAAAATACTTCATTGTCCACAGTAAAAAAAATTCAAATATTAAAAATGGGGGAAAAAAAGGGTAAAGCCACTCTGTCAGAAAGAACCTAATGATAATATTTCTTGGGTATACTTCCAGAGATCTTTCCTCTTTTGAGCACAAAAGAGGTCATGCTAAATGGATGCTCTTACAGTTGTGGGTTGTAACCCATTAGTAATGAACATGTCAACTTAGCATCAAAAATAACTGATCATAACAGAGAGTCAGAGTGCTTTGCTTTTAGTGAGAAAGAGTACTGTGTCACAAAACTTTATCATGTTTAAGTATCATGCACTATTCAGCTGTGATGTAAAATATATTCCTATTGTGAGGGCCACAGTTAAAAAAAACCCAAAAACCCAGAAAAACATTTACATATTGAAGTGTGTCTATTACTTGCTGGTAAAACACCTTGAAGACAGTAGTTTTCTACTTCATGAGATTCTATAGCTCCTTGCATTTTCCCCATATTTAAGATTTATATTTGGAGGGCAGCTAAGCATCTTTTCATATGCGTACTGGCTAGATTTTCTATATTAAAGTTAGGAGAGGAACATTTTCAACTTTTCTGGCCATTCCTCTTATAGGAAAAACCACCAATATTATAACCTCCAAGGGCAAAGGCAAAATTGGTTTTATTAATTAAGTTGTAAATTCTTTAGCAATATGTTTCTTCCCCAGCTTATGTATTCTTTGGCTAATTCTGAGATAAACTACTTCATCTATGAAATTCTAGATGTTCTAGGTTCTAGCAGTTGCAATTAAGTCAATGCAGCCTGGATGAGAGGTAGAGACAGGAGGAGCCGTGAATGACACTTGGAAAGTAGTTAGTAGGGTTCTGTCCTGCCCAAGGGTGCTTGGGAAGGGAGTGACTCCCTCAACCCAAGGCTGGAAACCAGGAAGGCATCAACTCCCACAATAATCAGGTCAGCCACCTTGGCCCCTCAACAGCTAGACAACCTTGGCACTAAGTCACTTCTGCAACCCAATTAAATTCTTTTTTTTTGAGTTGGAGTCTCACTCTGTCACCCAGGCTGGAGTGCAGTGGCCACTCCCGGCCACTGCAGCCTCGACCTGCTGGGCTCCGGCAATCCTTCCACCTCAGCCTTCCAAGTAGCTGGCACTACAGGCACACGCTACCACGCCCGGCTAATTTTTGATTTATTGTAGAGATGAGGTCTCGCCAAGTTGCCCAGGCGGGTCTCGAACCCACGGTCTCGGGCAATCCACTCACCTCAGCCTCCCAAAGTGCTGGGATTACAGGCTGAGCCACCGAGCCCGGCTCAACAATTAAATTCTTGACACACAGTAGTCCCCTCTTATCTGCGGTTTTGTTTTCAGAGGTTTCAGTTACCTGCAGTCACTCAGAGTCTGAAAAGACTAGATGGAAAATTCCAGAAACAATTCATAAATTGTAGAGTGCACACCATTCTGAGCAGTATGATGAAATCTTGCATGGTCCAGGTCCATTCCCCCCCGCTTCCACGTGGACTGTTCCATGAACCCTCCCTTTGCCCCGAGTAACCCACTGATGACATGTTCCCCACTGCAAGTCAGTTGGTCCTCTTAGCTACCAGATGACTGCCCAGAGATGGCAGTGCTACTGTTCAAGTAACCCTTATTTTGCTTAATTGTTCTATTTTATTATTAGCTATTGTTGTTCATCTCTTACTGCACTTGATTTATAAATTCAACTTGATCACAGGTATGTACATACAGAAAGAAACAGTACATGTAGGGTTCAGTACTATCTGAGGTATCCACTGGGGTCTTGAAATGTGTCCCTGCTGACAAGGGGGACTAGTGTTCTGCATTCCTAAAAAAGACCATTTTGGTCCCAAGCCATTTTCCTCCTCTAGATTGAGCCTCTTTAAGAGACATAAGTTCTAGAAAATCCTGGTGTTGAAAGAATAGGCTTAGCCTTACATTTCCTAAAGATAATTCCTCTTTAAAAAGAGTCCACAGTTAAATAAGTGTTTTTATCTGTCAAGAGCTATTATAAGTCCTGCAGTTAAGGTTCTGCTGTGTCTGTTTTTTCAATATCTGCTGAAAATCATCTAGAAAACCAAAGTTTTGGAAGACAACCATTCTGCTTTTGTGAAATCTAAACCACACTAACACAGTTTAATTTCATCTATAATAAATGGTACACCATGTAGATGGAGGACACCGGGTCTCTCAAACCCCACTGGCTGCATGCTAAACAGCCAATCAAAAGGAGGCGGGGAGAAACAAGGCCAAAAGGCCAGGACTACTGGACTGAATAACTGATGGATAAGCTGCTGGCTGAGGACAGGTTTACCCTCCTTCAAGACATTTAAAAATTTCTATCCTATTTATTACCTGATGGGCAATACTCACTCCCTGATGGGAGTAATATTGTACATTAACTGTACAATAACCAGATCTTAAGCTTGGACGGTCTTTAAGCAAGTACTCTACAGAAGCATGACACAGATTGGCAAATTAATGGTTCAGTGCTGTGCTCTTTACTAAGAACTAGAATTTGAAACCCATTAAAAAAAAACTTATTAGCAATATGATCTTGGACAAGTTATTTAATCTCCTTTCTGAAAAACAGGGAAAACAGTAAAGTAACTGCTTCTATGTTTAAGAGGATCAAATGCTTTAATACATACAGACCCTTAGGGCAATGCCTGGTTATGCTACGGGGCCCTCAATAAGTGTTTCTTACTGTATGTCTGCCACAGGATTGACCCTATGGGAAATAAGTCAATCATCCACGCTATTCCTGCTTCTCAGCAGAGGCATCACTGCATTCCAATGGCAACAACCACTGTCCTGTGCCCTGTGCATCATTAACTGTCCCTGATAACTGTCCACTACATCTCATCAGTGAGCCCTAATCATTGTGACAACCCACAACATCCACTTCTTCCAAGCCCTAACATATCCCTAGGGGGATAAAACAAAAGGCAGGAGGGAGTTAATATCTCAGGAGAGACATCTGTCAGAAAGAGATGTTATCTAAACATAAAAAACTAAAATGAATGTACTAATTAAACAAATAATAAGCACCTACTGTGTACAAAGGACTGATGAATTATAGAAATAAACACAAAGGTGCATGCCTGGAGACCTAAAAAAAAAATGGAAAACTCACAATGGGGAGAAGCAGCCAGATGCAATAAACGAGAAACAAAACCCAGTTTGCAAGTGAGCAGATGCTAGGATGATGCAAACTAATACAAGCTGCACGTATACACTCAACACCACGCTGCCAGAATAAAATGCAGATACTATTATTCCGGGATGGATCCTTGGGAATGTGTCTAACAAAAACAATAAAGGAACCAATTACTTCTTTACCTAGAGGTCTTTCAGAGGGCTGCAACCAGTTTGGGTTTCTATATAGAAGAAGATGGAGAAGCGGGAAATAAAAGTGAAGAAATATTTAAAAATGACAAAATGCACACTGGTGGGGCTGGGGCGGGAGAACATTAGTGGACTTGGAAAGAAAGAGAGGCCCAGGAATTGCAATAAATGACCTATTAGTGTAAGGACAATAGCTCAGGACACAGTCCGACTCAAGAATCTAGGCTAACGTCACAACAGAAAGCAGCTTGATTCAACAGAAGGAAAGATTTCAGTCCAAGAGTACTGAGCCACAGCAGGCTACCAAAAGAGACTGTGGAACTGAGTAGCTGGAGCTGTGGAAGAATCCTGTCACAAGCCATCTGTCCCGAATACACCCGAATACTCTCAGTCTAACCCCGTCTCTAAACGGCCCCGCTGAGGCCGGCAGGCACAGGAGGACTCTCACGTCTCTATTCAGTGAAATGTCTTCTCTACAAAAGCACACCCAAGAGGTGATTTTTTTCGTCAAAAACAGTGCATCTGTTCTTAGGCTGCATCTCTTCAAAGCTTGAGAATTCTTCTCTAAGGTTTGCAGAACTTTTCACAACCAAACTTAGCAACGTACTGAAATAGCTAGCAAAACATTCTCTAAAAGAACAGATAACGTGGAAAACAAGGATGGCAATTTTCAAATGAGTTCCTGCTTGTTGTTCCTGAAACACCTAGGATGAAAAGGGAGGTGGGGTGGGTGTAGGTGGCCTGTGGAACACGGGCCTCTCGTCAGGAGCATCCTGATCCTGTGACTCCCTGGGCCTGATTCTCGGCTCAACGTTGGCATGTTAAATATTTTGCCCATACTCCCTCTGCCACACCCACAGCTGGAAGCATACTATAACCTTCTCAGACATGGCTGTTTGTTTTTCACACGTTACCAAGAGACATCTTCAACAATGGTTTCCTCTCCTCATTGACTCAACACAGTGTCATGTTTCCATCCAGCCAGCTACACATCTAGGGTCCCTCACTTTTTGTTCAATCACACACTCTGCAAGTTCCAGGCACTGGGGCCCTGAGGCCCTAAGATGACAGGCTGGTGAAAAGACTATCAACATATACTAATGACAAACAGAAACAAACACACATATAACATGATATGCAAAAGAACCATTAGCAAGGAAAAAAAAA